AATTAGGCAGGAATTTATTGACCAACATCGGCAAAGTTTAAATTTCTTTTATTAGAAAAGAAACGACGTTTCGACCATCAATTAGGTCCTCTTCAGGCTATAAAAATTACATAATATTATACATTTCGGTAATACAATAACTGATAACTTAAGTGACATGTACAACGATATTCTCGATTTGTTTTAAATAAATATACTTTTATTAATTTGGATCCTTGTTGCTTTATATTTAATTTTATTTATTATGATTTTTATTTATTTTATTTATATTTTATAAAATTTATTATATTTATTGTTTTCAACCTTCCATAAAAATGTTCATAAGCCTCTCATGTTTATATATTGTTTTTGTATTATAACTTATGAGACAACTTTCAATTTCTATATTTTATAATCAGACCTATTTGCGAAAGACTATGGATGTTGTTACAGTGTCAATTTACATGTCAGTGCGAACTATCGGTTCTCTTTTTCACTTTTAAGAATGTCATTTCTGCTGTGTTACAACTGACAGTTACCTGATCATTCGTTGATTGGAATATGTATTTTAATTCAATAGGTATTTATGTATATCTTATTATAATTTTGAGTTCTCTTATACATCGATTATTCACTAATATTTTTATTGTTTTTATTTTATTGTATTACCGAAATGTATCATGTAATTTTTATAGCCTGAAGAGGACCTAATTGATGCTCAAAACGTCGTTTCTTTTCTAATAAAAGAAATTTAAACTTTGCCGGTGTTGGTCAATAAATTCCTGTTTAATTTGGTTTATAATAACATTTATTTTTCAATAGCTTAAATAATTTAGTAATTATTTTCTTCTCCTTTTTTTTGGTTTCCTGTATTTTTATATATTTCGTAAAATTTTATATTAGTTGATTGAGAAAATCTTTTAACATTAATAGTTCCATCCGTTTTAGGTATAACGCAATGAATTTTTTGTGTTTCTAGTATAGTCCATATAGAATTGCCAGTCTTTGCAATAGCGTTAATGCTTGGCCCGATATGTGGTAACTAATGTTTGGCCAATACTTGGTAATTTATTCTTTTTTTTTTTTTTTTTTAAGTCAGAAAATTTGCCAAAACCAAACTTCGCGTCCTGACCCCTGAGGGGGGCCAGGAGACTTTGTGGCGGATTTCCGCCCTATCCCAAGGGATTATCAGACGGGGGACCGACCTAAAACCTGACTGAAGCCCCTGGTCGTATGGGTATTATCCACCGCGGAACCGCTCTCGCATAACTTCACGGTGGATACCCGACCGACGTCCTGAAAAAGGACACATCCTCCGAGGGGACACAACCAGTGTCCCCCGGAAAGACATTTCCTTGCCCCGAAAGAGCATTGGAAGGAGCCGGGCTACTAGCTCCCCCCGGACGAACACATTTGCAAATCTGACGCACGTGTTGTGTCTATCGGGTCTGCAACATCCACACACACGTGAGAATCACAAAATTGGATCTCTCCACGAGAACACTTGCGGAAAAACTCCCTGATATACATCGCAAGCCGGCGATAAATCCCAAGCGAGCAAAAAATACTTACTTCACTATCCTGAAGAACTCGGTAAATGCACAACGCAAGTTCCTTAGGATCCACACTCAGGTCACGTTCCTCCCAGCAGATTGCCAGGTTGCACAGCTGTTCATCAATCTCGGCTATCACATTACACGGCACTGTCGCTTGCAAATCCCTGAACCCAGCCGACAAATCCAGGGACGGCTCGTCACTTGATGACGACGAGGAGGGAGCCAGGCCTACACCCCCCCCCCCCTCACGCCGGTTCCTGGTATCCGAACCCAGGACGTTCGCTTCTTCTTTAGACCTATCCATATCTAAAAGAAGAAATTGGTTTTTTCTGTTGGGAATTTTCCTTCCCCTTAGGAGGTTGCCTTACTCAGCTAACGGGGCCTCCTCCCCGGATGTTATGTCAGTGTTTTCCTTCACCTAGTACAGTGGACAAGTCCTTTAGGGGTCTGCACCACCCATCACACACTCATTCATCCTTCTCACGCACTCCAGCTCGGGTACCTCGGGATAGCGATACCCGTACACTACGGGGATGAGTCCGTAGTGCCCCTGAGGGATGGTAATTTATTCTGGGCCATGCTTGGTTGCGATATAATTAATTATATTTTTTTTAATAACCTAATCTAACTTGAAACAGTATTTCTTTGTCGTGATTATACTCGCATTGCGTCGGCTTGTTGTAATCGTTTTATTATTAATAAATATGTCGCAAAATTATTATAAGCAAAAAAAGCATCGAAAATTCAAAAAGTTAAAAATTAATAATGCGTGTTATAATGTTGAATGTGACAATGCTAAGAAAGATAGCATAAAAAATAAAAATGAAATAGCGAATATTGACAAAAGTATCAGTGTAAATGATGAGATTATAAGATTAGATTACAGTGAAAAGAGTATTAATTTGGAAGAAGATAATTTTGATCATTGTGATAATTGTGATAATTGTGATGATTTTGTTAGCATTGATTCTCTGCGCACAAGTGACTCGAATAGTATAATATTATGTGATAATGGAGTTAATGATGTCAAAGACATAACAGAAAAAATTCGACAATGGACACTAGCTAATTTGGATAGTCTGCGCTTGAATGTTGTGACAGATTTACTGCGAATATTGAGAGAAGAAGGCCACGTCTCTTTACCAAAAACTGCTCAAATTCTTTTAAATACCCAACATCATCGAATTTTGCAACAAATGCGTAGCATTAAAGATTCATACGGAGAATACATTTATATTGGTATAAAACATGGTTTGAATCAGGTAATTGACTCCGATATTTTTATTGAAAAAGAAATCTGTGTATTGATTCATATTGATGGTATGCAAATTTATAACAATTTACAAGTACAAGTTTGGCCAATAATTGCAAAAATATTTAATAAAAATTATATTTGCGGACCTATCGTTGTTGCTCTTTATTGTGGAGATTCAAAACCTCTGAGTGTTTCTGATTACTTAAATAATTTTGTAACAGAAGCAACTGAATTAATTAACAAAGATGTAACTATTAATAGAAAAACATATTTATTCAAAATTCTTGGAATTATTGCTGATTCTCCAGCAAGAGCATTTCTAAAATGTATTAAATCATCCGGTGCATTCTACGCTTATGAAAGATGCACCGTTAAAGGAATTACCGTCGAAAAAAAATTTAAGAAAAAACAAGTATATCCTCAAATAGATAAACCTAAACGTACAAAGGAGTCATTCCAAGAACAAAATCAAGCTCAACATCATAAAGAAAATCTGTCTCCGTTATTAATTCTGCCAAATTTTGATATTATTAATAATGTAATTTTGGATTCTATGCATCTTTTATATTTAGGTGTAATGAAATATTTAATGAAAAATTGGATTTTGAAAAAGTGTTGTGCGACTAAAAAGAAAGTAATACATAATTTTCGCAGTGTGATGTTTTAACACCCAGCGTGCCTTGTGAATTCCAAAGAAAAAAATTTGATGTGAATCTTGTTTTAAGATGGAAAGCTACACAATTTAGATTTGTACTTTTGTATTGTGGTGCCATTGTTTTGAGAGATATTTTACCCGACAATTATTATAAACATTTTTTATTACTATTTGCAGCGTGTCGAATACTAAACAGTGACAAAATTAATAGTAAATAGTTGTGATTATGCTAAATATTTGTAAACACAATTTTTTACATTATTACCGTCATTATATGAAGAAAGATCTCAAGTGCTCAGTATACATAACTTGATTCATGTAACAGATAATGTTATGAATTTTAAGACTCCATTAAGTAATATTTCAGCTTTTTGGGGTAAAAGTTATATTGGTCTTTTTAAAAAATTAGTGAAATCACCCAAAAAACCACTAACTCAAATAGTTAATAGATTATCAGAACTGAAATCTGCAGATCGACTAAAAATGAAAAAAAATTATATCCTCTCAAAATGTGTGATAGATTATACTGCTGGATTATTTAAATATTGTGAAGAAGATTATAACATTATTAAATCAATCAAAATCTATAATTGTTCGTGATTCGAGGGTTTTTCACTCAAATGTCGTGAACGCGTGCGGCGGGTTCCGCTCCGCGAGAACGCGGGATGAATGTGCGATGAGAGAGAAGGCGGTATAGCGTTAAGAAGGAGAGAGAGAGAGACAGAGTGATATAACGTTGAGAAGGAGCGAGAGAGATAGAATGATAGTGGACCGCGACCGCGAGACTGAAGATTGAAGACGGGAGCGAGCGAGAGTAACAGATTTATAAAATGCACAATTGTTTAATCAAATTAACAAAACTGTCATTTATTCACTTTGTCCGTGTTAAGTATAATGCTGGAATCGCATCACTGACGCGACACTTAGATAGAGTTCCGCGTTCTCGTTACTAACGATAAGTCCGGCCAAGTTGTTCTAATTTTGAAGGTGCGGACGCGATCTCGATCGTATGATTTCTTGTTAGCTTCTGACAAAGAATCGGCGGGAACCCCGGTTCGCTCCTCAATTTGCCCATACAAGAAGAAGCAAAACAGTTTGACCGGGAAACGCTTCAAGGTTTTTCTGCGTGCAAAAGTCGGGATAGAATAACGAATAAACAAGAGACGTCGAAAACAAGTCAAAGGATACTTTCGCGAACGAGAATCTGTCGACGAGAGTCATGCCAAAATATTTAATTTTTAAGACGATAATCACAAAGGACAGCCGTTACTGCGAGGCTGACACGAATAACGCGAGTAATTTAAAAATATTGACACAATAAGCAAGATCGAACGACTGGGCGGAACGACAATTTGAACGACATAAATTTACAGAATAGACAGACTCGAATTTAATAAACGTGTTGACGGTCCTTAACATACCGCTCGCCTCGAAACTATCGTTTCGAAATATATGCTATGGGTACAAAACTAAGAGAACATTTAGGATTTAACGAGGCGATCGGAATGTCGAGAGTACGTATGATTTCCTTTGAAATCGGGAGCATAAAGTCGCTTTACGTCGGAGGCTCCAGGCTCTCGATATCGATTGGAAGCAGGCATAGCTTATTAATCTGTCGCTTATACTCGAACGCCGCAGTCTTCACCGTGACAACGCGAGTTAATCCGTCTTGACCCGTGTGACATCGTAGTACGCGAGCGAGCTCCCATTTGCAAGAGGGGAGTAGAGGGTTACGCAATAAGACGAATTGACCGACGCGGATCTCGGCTTTGGCAGGTCGTTTCCACTTGACGCGCTGTTGTAACGTATTTACATAGTCGTCAAGCCATAACTTCCAGAATCTTTCTGAGATCTGGCGCACAAGTTGCCAGCGCGACAGTCTATTTTCGCGAAGATTCAAAACGGAAGGTTCGGAAACTGCGGTCAGGGCCGAGCCGATCAAAAAATGCCCGGGAGTTAACGGTTCATAATCGTCGACCGAGTCGTTGAGAGGAGCGAGCGGTCGGGAATTGAGACACGCCTCCACATTGCATAAGACTGTTGAGAATTCCTCAAATGTGAGAGTATGAGCCCCAATCACTCGACGGAGATGGTGCTTTACACTCCGTACTTCCGCCTCCCATAATCCGCCGAAATGAGGAGCGGAAGGTGGCATAAAGTGCCACGTGATTCGATCGGAAGCGGTTCGATTGAGAAAGTCCAGGTCCCTGATAGTCGCGCGAAACGCGGCGGTAAGCTCGCGTTCGGCGCCCACGAAATTCGTGCCATTATCTGAATACATGGCCGAGGGCAGGCCGCGTCGAGCGCAAAATCGAAAAAACGCGCCGATAAACGTTGAGGTTGAGTAGCCCTCCACGAGCTCCAAATGAATGGCGCGAGTCGCCATGCAAATAAAAATCGCGATATACGCTTTTCGTGACGGGATTCCGCGACCAGACAAGGATCGTACGAGCACCGGACCAGCGTAATCCAGTCCGCAATTGAGAAAAGCGCGTGCGGGAGGAGTCACCTGCACGCGAGGCAGATCACCCATCTGTTGGAAGGGAATCGTGGCCCTTTCTCGAGTACAAATAACGCAGCGAAAAATAGTGAGTTTTGCGAGACTTCGGGCGCGAAGTACCCAATACTCGCGTCGTAGAGTAGCGAGCGTTAATTGTAGACCTGCGTGTAGAGATTTTAAATGCACGTGATACAGAACCAAAGCGACTAGCGGATGCGAGGCGAGAATAATCGGGTGTTTAACGGAAAAGGAAAGCGGCGCGTGCGAAAGCCGCCCGCCAACACGGATTAATCTATCCTCGCCGAGGAAAGGGTTGAGCGACAGAATCGAGCTTTTCGAGGATATGGCTCGTTGACTTGTGAGCGCAGCAAACTCGAGAGGGAAAAGCTCTTGCTGAATCCGTCTCAGAACAAATTCTTTCGCGAGTTGACATTTGCGGGCTGATAACGCTAGCGTGTTCTCATTAACGTCGTCAACGGGAATCGACTGCTTCCGAGTTTTATTGATGAAGCGCATTATATACGCTGTTACGCGAATTAACCGAGGCCACGACGAAAATCTCATCGTAAAGTCGCAGTCAAGTTCCGTCGAAGCTAAATGAGACTGAATACTCACCTTTTGTTCGATTTGAGTATCGAAATTGTGCGATCGAGAAGCCGACGGCTCGTCGATCGGGTAACGCAACCATGCTGAGCCGCACCACCAGAGTGGGTGAGTTCGAAGGAGAGACCCGGCGATTCCGCGAGATGCGCAATCTGCGGGATTTTCATCGGTGGGAACGTGGTTCCACATCGCGTTCGGAACGCGCGATTGTATCTCTGATACGCGATTCGCGACGAACGTCTTCCATTTGGCCGGTTGTTGCGTGACCCACGCTAAAACGACAGTTAAGTCTGTCCAGCAATAGCACGGGGAGGTGACGAGACCAAGAGTGGTTCGCACGAATTCGAGTAGCCGAGCCAGCAAGCCGGCTGCGCATAACTCCAGCCGAGGAATACTGAGGGACTTGATCGGAGCGACCTTTGACTTGCCGATTAGCAAGTGAGAAGAGATTTCGCCAGAGAGAGAAATGAGCCGAAGATACACGGCCGCTGCGTATGCGTGAATAGACGCGTCATGAAACCTGAAGGGCTTCCCACTTTTGCAGGACGTCAGTCGGAAGGACATCGTCCCAGTCGAGTTTAAGCTGCTACAATTGTTGCATAAAGATCTTGGCAGCGATTGTTACTGGAGTGCACCACCCTATTGGATCAAACAATTTGGCAACGTACGAGAGTATTGACCGCTTGGTTTTTGAAACGGACGGAATATGAGTTACGGTAAATTGGAACATATCGGAAGATGGGCTCCAGCTTATGCCTAAGATTCTTACATGTTCGTCGATTTGAAGAGTGCGATCGCACGCGAGGCCGTGGTTGTCGACCTCGATATCGTTCAGCAGAGCAGCGGAATTGCTCGACCATTTTCTCAATTCGAACCGTCCCCGACCGAGCAAAGCGCAAACCTGATCGCGAGTTTGTTTGAGAAGCGGAATATCATCGGCACCGAACAGAACATCATCGACATAGATGTTCTCATGCAGGACCGGCGCGGCAAGAGGAAACGAGCTGCCTTCGTCCGTCACGAGCTGTTGTATAACCCGAAGAGCGAGAAAGGGCGCGCACGCTGTCCCGTAAGTAACCGTGGTCAGTTGATAGGACTGCACGGTATCTGAGCAGCCGGCGCTCCATAAGATTCGCTGGAAGTCGATGTCACGAGAGTCAACACGGATTTGGCGATACATCTTCGCGATGTCCGCCGCATATACATACCGGAATTGCCGCCATCGCAAGATCACTGCAGGTAACTCCGTCTGGAGTTTCGGACCTGCATGCAAATGATCGTTTAACGAAGTTGAGTTTGTCGTTCGACTTGACGCGTTAAAAACGACTCTCAATCGCGTAGTGAGACTGCTGTCTCGGATGACAGGATGATGCGGAATATATACGTGCTGAGCGGAAAGCACTGAGTCCGGAACTTGACGCATATGACCGAGCGCTTCGTATTCGCGCAAGAAATCGACGTATTCGGATTTTAGAACAGCGTTTGACCGAAATCGTCGGTGAAGACTGGAGAGTGAACGCTCGGCGATAAAACGCGATTCACCAATGTCGATTGGTGGATCGCACCTGAACGGCAGACGCACGACGTACCGACCGTCAGCATCGCGCGAATGTGTTTGTGCGAAGTGCTGTTTGCACTGTTGTTCTTCTGGGCTGAGAAGCGCGCGACGCGGCACTTCTTCGACTTCCCAGAAGCATCTGAGTTCTCGATCGAGAGTATCCGCGCTCGCGCAATGCTGCACGGTAACCAATCGATGCGGCGCACCGGAATCCGACGTGGGGCCTGAAAGGACCCAGCCGAAGATCGTCCGCTGGGCGATCGGTTGTCCGCTCGTTCCTTTCCGAATACCGTCGAGTAATAATTCGGGATAAAGGTCCGCACCGATGATGAGTTCGATAGATTCGGCACTGACGGGAGTCGGATCCGCGAGCGCAAGATTCTGAAGATAGCTCCAATCGCACAGAGAGAATGCCTTTGATGGCGAGTATTTAGTTAAAACTTTGAGTATCGACGCGGTCGTCGTTAACACCGGTAAGTTAGAATTGATCGGAGCGATCTTGACTTGAGCGGCGAAACGACAAGTGCCCGCATCTACGCCGCCGACGGCGGAAATCGAAAGAGGCAATCGAACACGTTGCAATTTTAAATTTTGAGTGAGACGCTCTGTGATAAAGGTAATTTCTGAGCCTTGATCGAGGAGCGCTCGCACGTTGAGTGTACGACCCGACGGCGAAAAAACAGCAACACGGGCGGTCGCGAGTAATACATTTTTGCGCGCGGTTACCGTCGAAGTAGAAAATAATGCCGTTACTGAGTCGTTTTCTTTTTTATCCAACGTCGCGTTTAACATGGTCGTTGAGTTTGGATTGCTAGAAGAAGAGGTCGAGTCAGAATGTAGCATCGAGTGATGTCTATTTTGACAGATTCGACATGAGTATTTGCTCGGGCACGCTTGCACGGCGTGCTTCGAGCTCAAACAATTAATACAACGATGTGCTGATTTAATGAGTTCAGATCGCTGACTCGGCGTCTTTTTCAAGAATTGCGGGCATTTACTCAAAAAATGCGCAGCTTGACACCAAAGACACGCGAGTTTTGAAACGGTCGCTGACGCGCTTGACACCTTTTGCCCACGCATTTTTTCCGCTTTCGACGGTGACAATTCTTCAAGCGCGCGAACACGCATCTCGAGGAACCGATCGAGAGCTTCGAACAACGGAATTTGCGGGTCCTCACCAGTTTTCAAGCGCCATGCCTTCCGAGTAGCATGATCCAATTTTTGCGACACGCAGTGAACGAGAATGTCACTGAGCATCTCCTTGGGCGACCGCTGAAGAGCTCTCAGCGAGGCGATAGCCCGATTCGCTTTGTCGCGAAGTTCGTTGAGTTCGAACGCGGACTCGCGCGTAGCCGTCGGAAAATCGAATAAAGCGGATACATGCACTTCGACTAATCGGCGCTTATTATCAAAGCGTGAGGTGAGTGTTTTCCACGCGATCTCGAAATTCGTAACAGTAATCGGAATAGATTTAATGGTATCTAACGCGCGACCGGTGAGGCTTGAGGCTAAAAAATGCATACGCGAAAAGGGAGTGAGATCTTGGTTTTGAATGATAAGCGAAGTAAATCGATCTCGAAAAGATTCCCATTCATCGAGGTTCCCGGAAAAGGGCGGGAGTTTAATCGGCGGTAAATGCGTGAGCGAGAAAGATGGACGATCTATTGTACTCATCGGATGCAGCGGAGACGATGACATCGATGGTGCAGGCTCCAGCTCCTCGAGGCAGTCGGCCATGTAGTCCAGCGTGCCTTCGTAAATCTCCTGATGACGCTCGAACTCGGCGTCTCGGAAGTAGCTGATGTTGGCTCGTTGCTCTAGTGGGACGATCTGCACGAGGTTGGCGTGTTTGTTCACACAGGTCGTCCAGTTCTCCTTCAAGGTCCCGATCCGTTGCCGAATTTTAGCGGCAGTGTAATTGTTCTTGCCGATCTTTTTAAAATTGGTGAGACTTCGCTCGATAGTTTGCAGCAGAATGATCTGCTGCGCCAGAGGCTCGCTCATGGTAAAGCTCGCTTTGAACTCTCCTTGCTTCGAGGTAGGCGCCCGTCACCGCGCTGGAGTGGAGGAGGCCACAGAACAGATCCGCACAGAGTCACCCCGATCCGGCTCGAAGGACCAAAATTTGTGTTCGTGATTCGAAGGTTTTTCACTCGAATGTCGTGAACGCGTGCGGCGGGTTCCGCTCCGCGAGAACGCGGGATGAATGTGCGATGAGAGAGAAGGCGGTATAGCGTTGAGAAAGAGCGAGAAAGACAGAGTGATATAACGTTGAGAAGGAGCGAGAGAGACAGAATGATAGTGGACCGCGACCGCGAGACTGAAGATTGAAGACGGGAGCGAGCGAGAGTAACAGATTTATAAAATGCACAATTGTTTAATCAAATTAACAAAACTGTCATTTATTCACTTTGTCCGTGTTAAGTATAATGCTGGAATCGCATCACTGACGCGACACTTAGATAGAGTTCCGCGTTCTCGTTACTAACGATAAGTCCGGCCAAGTTGTTCTAATTTTGAAGGTGCGGACGCGATCTCAATCGTATGATTTCTCGTTAGCTTTTGACAAAGAATCGGCGGGAACCCCGGTTCGCTCCTCAATTTGCCCATACGAGAAGAAGCAAAACAGTTTGACCGGGAAACGCTTCAAGGTTTTTCTGCGTGCGAAAGTCGGGATAGAATAACGAATAAACAAGAGACGTCGAAAACAAGTCAAAGGATACTTTCGCGAACGAGAATCTGTCGACGAGAGTCATGCCAAAATATTTAATTTTTAAGACGATAATCACAAAGGACAGCCGTTACTGCGAGGCTGACACGAATAACGCGAGTAATTTGAAAATATTGACACAATAAGCAAGATCGAACGACTTGGCGGAACGACAATTTGAACGACATAAATTTACAGAATAGACAGATTCGAATTTAATAAACGTGTTGACGGTCCTTAACAATAATACTACTTTGAAATCAGTTCACCCTGACAATTTAGTAATACTAGAAGATTCAAGAATATTTATCATTAAAAAATTATATGGAAATTTAGAAACGAAGATGTTATTGCTAAAGAAGAAGTTTTTATTCTAGGACATGAAATGATAAATAAACGAGAAGTGTTTAACTATCCACTTTCGTCAGAGCAAATAGGCATTTTTATTGAAGATGGATTCATGGCTTCTCATAAATTAATATCGATTAAAATGATCTAGTATAAATGTCTTCTATTACACGTAAAAAATGAACAATATGCAGTTACTCTTCTACATTTTTAATATGTGGTAAATATCTTAATAATATAATATCGTTGAGTGTCGCTGCGTCGCAGTGTATATCATATATCGTTTGTTAGTCATATGTTTAACCATATACATATATTATATCGTTGTACAACCGCGAGCCACGAAAGATCAATATTTCTTAAAACGAGAGAATCAGTGTTGGTGTTGTGTGTTTCATATTATAATTGTATTTATTCGTTCACATTTATTGTATATTATTACGTTTGTGTAACGCATTAGTACTTGGTGTGATTCAAAAACACGAGAAATTGAGTTATAACAAGGTTAGTAAAAATCTTATATTTTTTAATAAATTAAAAAGATTATATACATATGTATAATCTCTGGTCTATTTGGAGATGATTTTTTCTCAGCAAAAATGTCGTAAGAAGCCATCATTTTTTATAACTTTCAATTTTTGTCATTATCTTTGTAACTAAGCCTTAAATCAAAATTTTATTAAAGTAAACTCCACATGAAATTAACCAAAGAATGTAATTATATTAATCTTTTAACTCTATGAAGTTTAGTTTATGAAAAACCTATTTTTTTCAATCGCTTATAACTTGAAAATTTTTGATATCTCAACATTTTCGCTGAAAAAAATTCGTCTTCAAATTAACCAGAGAATCCGCCCTTAAAAGGACATCAGATTGTTTTGAATCACTCTGCATATAAAATAAATTTGCTATTAGATGAGCAGTGAAGAAAATAATCGTACTGGACCATATGCTATTATTCGATTTGTTGAGGAGAAAGAGGAAAAAAACTTATAGATTTAATCTCATCTTCCTGGATCTATGAAGTTGACCAGAAAGGATATTTTTGCTTATATCCAGATTCAACTGATTATCATTATTTAGATAACTGGCTTATTTCATTAAAAAATGCCGAAGAATACTGGGAATCTTATGCAATAACTATTATTGCATACGCAAGTATGTATATATAAATAATAAATAATAAAATTGTCCGACAAGAATTTTATCAAGGATCGCAAATATATACATATATATATATATATATATATATATATATACTATATATATATATATTTAATAAATATATACAGGGGTTAGACAAAATAATATGAACACCATGCAATATAGTATAGTTTATTGCATGTTGACAACACTGCTTTCGTGTAAATAATTCGACACGTATGTAATGCACAGTTTACGTGGCAAGTCTTGTAGATTATATTTCAGTGTATTATACGCTTTGTTCTGCGACGGTTATAACAAGCGATCGGTGAAATGCGTGATCTCTCAGACTTCGAAAGAGGGCAAATCGTTGGTGCTCGGTTAGCGGGAGCGTCTGTGACGAAAACAGCTGAACTGTTTAACGTCTCACGAGCGACAGTATCCACAGTAAAGACAGCATACACAAAACATGGTAAAACATTATCGGCGAAGAGGAATAGTGGACGAAATCCAAAGTTAACTGACAGAGACCGACGAACATTAAAAAGGATTGTGGCCTGACAACATAAAACTACCGCGGTAAAAGTGACAGCAGAACTCAACACTCACCTGAGTAATACTGTTTCGACAAAAACAGTACGGCGGGAGCTCCACAAAGCTAACATTCATGGAAGGGCTGCAATTGCAAAACCCCTTATAACGGAAGCCAACGCTAAGCTGCGAAAGAAGTGGTGCCACGATCATAAAACCTGGACACTTGATGATTGGAAAAATGTGGTCCGATGAATCATCGTTCACATTGTTTCCTACTAACGGCCGGGTTTATGTATGGAGAACCCCAAAAGAAGCCTACGATCCGGACTGCCTGCTTCCTACAGTCAAGCATGGGGGAGGTTCCGTTATGATTTGGGCGGCTATCTCGTGGTATTCAGCTGGTCCTCTCATTCACATTACTGGCCGGATTACTGCGAATAAATATCTCGACATTCTCAATGATGAAGTTCTTACTATGACTAGCATACTGCTGCCAAACACTGCCATATTCCAGGATGATAATGTGCTCATACACACAGCTAAAAAGGTTCAATCTTGGTTTGAGGAGCATCAGAATATCATCAAACATCTTCCCTGGCCAGCACAATCGCCAGATCTCAACATAATTGAACCGTTGTGGGGACTTTTAGAGCAGAGAATAAGGAGCAGATTTCCATCTCCAACATCATTGAAGCAATTGGCGGATGTTTTGGTAGAAAAATGAGATAACATTCCGTTGGAAACTATTCAGACACTCTACAAATCTATTCCGCGAAGAATTGCAGCTGTTCTACAAGCAAATGGTGGCCCAACACCTTATTAATAAATAAATATTGTGTATACATATGTCAGGTGTTCATATTATTTTGTCCAACCCCTGTATATACAGGGTGTTAAAAAAGTGTCGCATTTGCTCAGCACCATTCGATAGAGAATGAAAATCTAAGAGAAAATGTCTAATACTAATTTCCGATCTGATGAATAATTTTACCGCAATTAATTATTGTAATCAGTCAATCAGCGCGGAGTTACAAGAATAAGTCAGGGGCGGGCGCGCGAAGTTAGCTGCGGCGCGGCGGCAACCGCGCTCACGTATGGTACGCAGTTTTACTTTTTCATAGCATAAACAATATTCCATTTAATATAAAAAGATTAAATGATTAATTGTCTTATAAAATATAAATGAAATAAATTTATGTTAATACATAAAAATAATTCGGCGAATTAAAATTATGTCGAGACAAAATAAAAATTCGAAATTATTATTATGTGGCAATATAATTTCAACTTATCGAATTTTTATTATGTGGCGATATAATAATAATTCGATGAATTAAAATTATATCGCAATATACAGATATTTTGGTAAATTAAAATTATGTCGAGACATAAAAATAATTCGATGAATTAAAATTATGTCGAGACATAAAAATAATTCGATGAATTAAAATTATGTCGAGACATAGAAATAATTCGATGAATTAAAATTATTTCGAAACATAATAAAAATTTTGGATTATTATTATGTGGCGATATAATTCTAACTTAAAGAATTTTCATTATGCGGTGACATAATAATTCGATGAATTAAAGTTATATCGCGACATAAAGATATTTCGGTAAAATAAAATTAAATCGAAACATAATAAAAGTTCGATAAACTAAAATTATGTTTGGGTATAAAAGTAATTCTCTATTCTTATTATTTATCGACATAATTTTAATTTATCAAAATTTTATTATGTGGCAACACAATATAATTCCATGAATTAAAATTATACCGCGACATAAAAATAATTCGGTGAATTAAAATTATGTCCAGACATAATAAGAATTCGGAATTATTATTATGTCGCGATATAATTTCAACTCATCGAATTTTTATTATGAGGCGATATAATAATAATTCGATGAATTAAAATTATATCGCAATATACAAATATTTCGGTGAATTAAAATTACATCGAAACATAATAAAAGTTCGATAAATTAAAATTATGCCTGGGTATAAAAATATCCTAAAAAAATCATAAAAATGAAAAGGTCAGGCCATGTTCAAAAGAAGGTACTCAAAAATTTAAACGATCTAATAATAAATTATCACGAAAAGTAACTGATATGTTATTCAAGGTGCCAGTTCAAAGTGAACATACGTAAAGTGTATATTATCTAAATTTAGTAATAATATATTACCATGAAAAGTAACTGTGATATTTTATTCAAGGTGCAAGTTCACATTGAATATACATACATATAAGTAAAACTGATT